TTCCTGCTAGCATCTGAACAAATAGTTCTTTCCTTCTCAGTGTCTGGCTCACATGTTTGGCGAATTCTTGCCCTAATGACTAGCCTGACGCGGCAGATGACACTAAGAGAGGTCATGGCCTGTTTAGGGTAAACCATACCACTCCAGTCCCTGTCCAAGAGGACACTTCCCCACTGTGTTTCTTAGCAGAGTCAAATATTTAGATGACTTCCATTGGGAGTGTTTTAAATGGGATTACATAATGGCTTGTCACATTTATTTATAATTATGGGCGTATTGTTTGGACTGCTTGTTTGATTTTCAGGGACACAGTTGGACATGATTTAATTCTGTTCTCAAGGCCTGTTACACATTATAAACCTTAGTCGCTTAGGTCATGAATATTCATTAGATGAGCTTACTATAGCATGATTAACACTTGCATGTTTATTCAATCCACAGCTGGTTGGGAGAGGCTTTTTTTTTTGATCAGCTACAATTTTTCTTAGCAATGGGCTAAAGCGAAACAATTTTCATGGGAATCATGTATTATTTTGCAGTATCCAGTATATTTATGCCATTACATTCAGTTCAGTCTGTAAACTAATTTCTTTTGCCTCAATGCTGTAGATTCTGCACAGTGTTTTATATACTATTTAATAGGTTTAGGTTTAGTTCTAGACCAGTGCAGATGAAAACAACATGGCATTTAATGGAAGAACTTATTTTAGGCCTATATTAGTAGACAGAACCAATGATTTGGTGCTTATTGAATACAGATTGAAGGCCTGCGGACATGTGCGTATCAACGTAAAGAGACAGATAAACGCAGTGTTAGCCAGATATGTAAGCGCCATCCAACCCAGACAATACTGTGGTTGTGTTATGAAGTCTGAGTTCAGACCATAAGAAAATACCCAGACTAACAAAGATGATATACATGTGTTTTACCCTCTCAAAGATATAAAGTGACCTTTGAGAGATCCTTAAAGTGAGCAAAACCCATAATGGATCTCAATTTAAGAGCTTTAGACGCTGCTGTTGTAGTAGAAATTAGTGTTTCCTTTCCGAACAAAGCTGGTTTTCTTTTGCAGCTCGGATTGTGCCAGGATTTCCATGTGCCCTCTGAAAAAAAATTCAGTGCTTTGTTTGCCACATGAAAAGATGCTCAAATCTTGATCTATATTTAAATCTAAAATCTCAAATCTATATTTATGTATTAATGATTTAATGTGTTGTACAAGAACAATTTACACAAAAAGTCATGCTATTTTAAAAATAAGACTTTTTGCTAAGAAAAATGCCATTATTTTACATTTTTAATGCAATTTTATGTACATTTTTTGCAGTCAGGTTGAATAATATGAAATGATGGAGCTCAAAACATGGTTTATAATGCTTCCGGGTTATTTGTAAATTTTATTTAATTTATTTATGTGTTGCAAGTCGAGTGCATTGCATTTATGGGATATTGTGTCTGGTCAAGTTGTGTTCAAACTACAGATACGGGCCGAATGTGTTTGCTTATGCTCTGTTTCTCTTTTTGTTAGATGTGGACGAGTGTCAGGCCATCCCAGGACTATGCGCTGGAGGAAACTGCATTAACACCGTGGGCTCCTATGAGTGTAAATGTCCCGCGGGTCACCGGCAAAGTGAGACCAGCCAGAAGTGCGAAGGTATGTCATTACTGCACGAAATCCAAACCACGCAAGCTGTCAGAGAACAGCAGGAGAATGATCTCAGTACTGTTCGTAACTCGTAATTGGAAAAAATTGAGTCACACACTTGGCGTTTGCAAGGTTTCCAAGTTGCTGTTATGCATGAAATGTTGACGTCAGATCTGAGGATCCAGTGAATATTGCCTGGAATTGGCCTACATGATGGTTTATGATGGTCTAGCCGCTGTTCATATTCCTGGTTTAGCTGGTTGACTATTTTCCTCTTTGGGTCCATCTTTAAAATAAGTGGTGCTTGGGAGGAATTTAAACAATGCCGAGTGAAAACAAACAGGCGTGTTGTAAAGTGGGGGTCTGCGGTTCTTGGATCCAAGCCTGCCCTTTAGGACTATTAAGATAAAACCTAAATAGAGAGATAAAGAAAGAGAGATAGTGGATCACAGCTATTATATACCAGATGGGTGAGGTTATTTCTTATCTACCACAGTATGTAATTTCCACTTAGTGTGCTGTTTTGGCTTTACAATACTGTATTGACAAAATGGTGCAAAATGCAAGTGAATTAACAGTAGTGCAAATGGAGAAAATGGTCAGTATTAACAAATAAATTAAAACAATAGGTGTAAAATAAAATAAGAATTTTGAATAAATATATTCTTGAAAATATAACTGAACAGTAAATAAAATAAATATTTCTTAAGTATTTCTTTATATAAATATTTCTTAAGTAAAAGTATTTAATTTTATTGTATTAAAATGAATTAATGAATCGAATTAATGAACTGAAAGCAGTCTTTTATATATATTTTTAGTTTAATTTTAGTTTTTATAAATGTTTTGTGCATGTCTTTTTTACTTCTATTTAGCTTTAGTTATATATTTATTATATATATTTTAATATGTCTGTATATTTTAAATCTATATTCTTACTTGAATGATATTTACTAGTTTTCTTAATTAGCACCTCAACTTATTTTATTTCAGTTAATAAACAAGGCAACATTTCTAATTTAATTCTAATCTAATATTTATCATTTAATTTCAGCTAAAATAAAATATTTTATTTATTGAACTATTTAATTTTATTTTACACTATTGCTCTGTTTTATTAAATAAATGTATAAAAAATATTATATTTTATTTTACACTACGGTTTCATTAAAATGTGTTTTATAAATGCATTGATTACAGCTTGCATTTCGCTTTTCCAGGCAGTCTTTTAATGAAAAGAGTCCTACCTAAAGTAAATGACATTCCTCAGAGGTTGTTTTTATCATAGCTCCATTAACTTGATGGAGACTTGATTTATGTCTCATTCAAGTATCTACTTTGTCTCAGATGTTTGTCATAAAATTCCTGAGTAGGAATACTAATAGGCACAATTGAGTTGCTGACATACAGGAAGAGTACAGCGCTATAAAAAATTGAGAGACACATTTATTTTCTCATAGATGCATCTGGGAAGCTGGAAACTTAAGTAAAAGTGTCCATTTACTCCCAGCTTAATCTCATTGGTGTCTAGGAGAAACAACTGAGGTATTAGAGAGATCTCATTTGTGACTTTTCTTTCCTGCAAGTTTCAACATTTTCACTTCTCGTTCAAAACTGTAAGTAAAGAGTTAAGTATGTAAACCGATAGGATTCAACACACTTCCAGTAAGCCAGACAAAAGGAATCCCAACCCTTGAGGTTATTAGTTTAAATCTGAATGACATTTTGACCCTGAATGACAAAGCCATGACTAAAATGAAGGTTTGGAGAAGAAGCAGACCTCTGTCTGCAAGCTTCACCCAAGAAGTCTTTTTCTCAACTTCTGTAAATTAGATACTCGACTGATCACTAAAACACCCTGAACTTTGAGTCTGAACGGCTGAAGTTGCCTGGAAAAGTGCTGCTCTGTTTTCTTTGAAGCCGTGTGGAGGGTGGAAAAAAACCCAGGTGGTAGTTCTGTGGGGCGAGGAGGAGCGCTTAATTAAAAGACAATGGTGTGGTGGAAAAAGTCTTGCCCCGGGCGAGGATTTAAGGTATCTCGGACTGCTTGCAGGGCACTTTCTGACTCTAAAGACGTGGTGAGGAGACTTACAGAAGCCAGGAGCTCATTTCAGCAAAAGTAGCTCTAGAAAGCTGAAAATGTAATGCTAAGGATATCCAAGTTTGCGTGTAAACACACATATAAAGGACTTAAGGTTTAGCAGAGCTTCTTATATTTTGTGATTTAGGGTTCTTGATTTGTCATGAGCTCTTTTTAAATGAGAAGATGCTTCTTTGGAGATTTTTACTGTTATATTATAGGCCTTCACATCAGGATAGTTTTAGTTTATCATCTGTTCCGTTATAAGAACATGAAAGGTTCTTCTAAGTTCTTGCAATGTCATAGAAGAGCCTTTCTTATGATGCCGTAGAAAAGCTTTTCTAAGTTCTTATGATGCTGTAGAAGAACCTTTCAAGTTCTTAGGTCATAGAAGACCCTTTTTAGGTTCATATGATGTCACAAAAAGTAGATGTATCTTTTTAAGATCTTAAGAACCTTTTTGTGACATCATAAGTACTTAAAGTTCTTTAATGGCATCATAGGAACTTAAAAAGGCTTTTCTATGACATCGCAACAACTTAGAAGAGTCTTTATATTCTTAATTCATAGGAGAACCTTTTATGATATCATAAGAATGTGAATTTTTAATGGCAATTATAAGCACTTAAAAAGGTTATTCAATGACATCGTAAGAACTCATACAAACCTTTTTATATTTAAGTCATAAAAGAACCATTTTATGAAATCATAAGAAAGGTTTTTCTGTGACACGGCAAAAATTTAAAGACCCTTTTTAAGATCTTAAGTCATAAAAACATTTTTATAATATCCTAAAACTTAGAGAATTAAAAGAACTTAAAAAGTTAAAAAGTGACATTGTATCATATAAGAACTTGAACATTTTAATGGAATTAGAAAAACTTAAAAAGGTTCTTCAAGGACATCATTAAAACTTGAAACGTATGAATATCAAGTTCTTTAATGGTGTTATAAGAACTTAAAAAGGGTTTTCTGGGAAGTTAGAACTTAGAAGAACCTTTTCAAGTTCTTAAGTTATAAGAACCTTTTTATAATTTCATAGCTTAAAGTTCTTAAATGACATAATGAAATCATAAGAACTTGAAGTTCTTTAATGGCATTATAAGAATTTTAAAGGTTTCTTCTATGACATTGTAAGAACTTAAAATATCCTTTTTAAGTTCTTTTGTCATATAAGAACCTTTTTATGATTTCATAAGAAAAAGTTATTTTTGATGGCTTTATTATAACTTAATGTTTCTTTTGTGACATTGTAAGAACTTACTTTGAAACTTACTACTTGTAAGAACATTGTAAAAACCTTTTTAAATTCTTCATTCTGTCATAGAACTTTTTTTTGACATCACAATTTAAAAAAGTTGTTATATTGGAATATTGTCATTATTTAGAACCATTCTTTTTAAAACTATTTTTAAACCCAAATAATGGGGTACAGTGTCATAAACATTACATTTTTAATGCTTTTTTTTTACCCCACCCTTCATTTTTCCTGTTTCTCTTTATTTAAATAAAGAGTTTAACTAAACATAACCATTTGATCAGAGAAACAACTGCATCTGAAATGTAAAACCCCAAAGTAGTGTTCTCCTAACATATGAGGATGTGAACACACACTCCAGCAGTCATTTGTCGAGATGGCATATGTTTCCTTTCCAATACAGCTTCACGTCCGCCCTGAGTAAAGTCTAGTCCCGCTTTTGGGGCTCCGCTGACGAGCGGGTTAGTTTTGCCGAGGTTTTTATGACTTCAGAAGGGCCGTTTTCAGCTGCTGTGGCACACTGTGAGTCCCGGTTTCCATGCTCATGCTCTTCCCACATCCCGCCTCAATCTCATGCGACACACAACGTCCACATATAATTTTACTAAATAAACGTAATTGCACGTGTGTATAAATATAAGAACGACACGCAGTAAAAACCAAGAAAACTCTTTAACATCTGTCGAGTTTCACTTTGAGTTCGCGCCTGTAGTCGCGTTGTGTTACCATGAGGAGGTGGACAATGCCAGTTTAAAAGCACTAACCACAAATGAGATCTCTTGGTTTCCTCAATTGTTTCTCCCACTGTAGAATCCAATGAGAGTTGCTGCTTAGATGTTTCTCCTAAAAAAATGTGTCTTCTCTAATTTGGTTAATGCTGTTTGGTTTCTACTGCAAGACTTAGTCTACAGTTTCTGATAAATCACCATTTTGAAACTTTTAACAAATGCAGGATATGCATTATTGTGTTGTATTTTAGATATCGACGAATGCGCAACCATATCCGGAGTGTGCGATGGTGGGGAATGTACCAACACCGCAGGCAGCTACGTGTGCACCTGTCCGCGGGGATACGTCACCAGCGCAGACGGCTCCAGATGTGTCGGTGAGACTCTTTCATCCACACACACAAACACGCACGCACACATGTGTTCCCGTGACCTTGTGCTCCTGGGCTGCATCTGAGCCGTGCTTCATTTTGCTTGAATGACTCATGGGATGAACTTGTGTGCAGTCAACCGCTTCAAGCCCAGGCAAGTGTGCTTGTGTGTATATAGGCCTGTATCTTTGACTGCAAACAGGACAGAACCGTTGTTTTAAAGATGTAAATAAACCTGGATGAGTTCGCAAAGTATTTTTTGAGGTCAAATGTGTAATTTCTGTAAGTCAGGTCACCTTTATTTATATAGCGCTTTATACAATACAGATTGTGTCAAAGCAGCTTTACAATGTTAAACATGAAAAACGTGCTGTTAATGCAATAGGACAATAGAAAACAGTCAGTTTTTCAGTTAAAGTCGGTTCATCATTGATATGGTTCATTGTACGTTCGTGTTTTTGTTAAAGGGGACATGAACTGAGAAAACAAAATTCCCTTGAACTTTTGACATATAAGAGGTCATTGTACTATAAAAACATCCAGTAAGTTTCAGAACTGAAAACTTTCTCGTTAGTCTAAAAACAGTTTATATTGAAGCCAATCTGCCAAAACGACAGGTTGTGGAATGTGCCACTTTATGATGTCATAGTGTGGCTAAATACCGCCTCCGTGGAAGAAGATCAACACCTGCACAGTTTTTGCAAAATAACGGAACATGGCATACTGTTCTTCCACAGATGCATAATTTATGATTGGTAGGGGTGTGAGTTTTTGCATTCAAATCAATTCCACTAGCAATTTATATAGTAATTTATCAAAAAAAGATTTTTGTAAATTCAGGGTGATTTAGTTAGTCTAAAAACAGCTTATATTGAAGGCAGTCCGCAAAAGCAACAGCTTGTGGAATGTTCTACTCTATGATGTAATAGTGTGGATAAGCACCGCTTATTCTTCTGCAGAAGAAGATCAACGCCTGCTTCTACATCACTGCCTGTTTAGCTCCGCCCACCGATTCACGCATGTAGTGTAAATAACGAGAGAGACAAATGCAGGTCTACGCAGAAACCAAATGTTAAAGATGCTCCGAAGACAATAAGACGCTGTGCAGTGCTAAGTTGTAGAAAAACACAGTCTTTGCATCGCCTTCCTTCTGATCTCAACATTAGGAAGAGGTCATTGTACTATAAAAACATCCTGTAAGTTTCAGAACTTAAAACTTTGTCATTAGTCTAAAAACAACTTATATTGAAGGCAGTCTGCCAAAACAACAGCTTTTGTAATATTCCCATCTATGATGTAATAGTGTGGATAAACCCCACAAGAAGATCGACATCACTGCCTGTTTAGCCCTGCCCACCAATTCTACATCACTGCCTGTTTAGCCCCGCCCACCCATTTGAGAGAGGCGAATGCGCAGGTCTATGCAGAAACCAAACGATAAAGTTGCTCTGAAACAACAAGATGCTGTGCAGTGCCAAGATGTGGAAAAACAGTGTTTGTGTTGCCTTCATTCTGAGTGAAAGGAAAGAGTGGATGAACTTTATTTTTAATGAAGATCCAGACTGCGTCAGTAAGAACTCGGTCCTCTGTTCACTTCATTTTACCGCAGATTCGTTTACAAACAGGACACAATTCGACACAGGATTTTCAGAATGATTGAAACTAAAAGGTGCTGTGTGAAATTTTGAATTGAATTTGAATGAAATTTATTTGGTTAATTTAATTAATGCAACAATTTACGTACAAATTTAAATTCCTACAATGAAAATCGTTCGGGTAAAAGATGTCATATTCATGCTCATCTTACAATGATTTTTGAAAAATCTTTCATCAAAACATTCCGGGAAACACATGGAGAACAAATTTCAGCATAAATTGGCATTATGAAAAATGTTTGGTTTTAAAAATAATTTACCTGGAAATTTAATCCAGGTTCGATTCATGCATGTGACAATTTACGTACAAATTTTCTGCACTTAAAAATTACTTGTCTTTTTTGTTGACGTCACAAAGGTCACATGCACAGGCAAATGTAATTGTAGTTAAATGTGATGCCGTTGCATGTTGCCTTTAAAAATGCTCGCAAAGGAAACCGTTCCTTCGCAATCCAGACAGACTAGTCTTTCTTTAGTTTGAGACTTTGGTTACGTAGAGAGTTTGTTGGTTTCTTTTGGCGAACAGGTCTCACACGGTCTCATCCGGTCTCAGGGGGATCAGCTGCCAGAGGACAACGGTGAAAACAGAGTCACATGGATGCTATTTCCTCCTGCTAACATTTCAGTACAGTGAGGCAGAGGCACTGTTGACTCTGGCATCGCCTTTGTCTTTTCTCTTCACTGTCCGTTTCTCTCACACTCCCTTCTCTCTCTATATGTGTGTATGTCTCTTTTTATACACGCCGTCTTGAGTTTCTCACTCCCGCCACCCCATAAATCTCTCGTAACCCCCTGATCCGTCGGGTCCCCGGGTGCGAATAAAGAAACGTGAGATATCGGCCCTGGATGACGCGTTGACGTGGCCTTCATTTGTTCCCAGAAACCCGTGTGGATTTACGGCAAACGTTTGCTTTACATATGGATCCTGTCATGGTGGAGAATGCGGGCAGTCCGTGTGTTTTTCTACATGTTGACATACAAAACAAAGACTCTAGGAAGCCAAAATGGTTTTTGGAGCATGACGTCATGGGAGAATGTTCGAAAGTTGACGTGAAATCAAAATTGACTGTTGCTATTACTTTCATAATTGTGCGCAGTTCATCAGTGCATGTTATTCCAAAGGCCAAGCATGCTATTAGTAACCAACAACAAGCTATTTAGACATCGTTTTAGGCCAGAAACCAAAGAAGGCGCAAAAGTTTTGTGGTATCTTTGCGTTTCCCCCGGCTGGTGCTTTGCTTCTCACAGAACCAGGCTGTTGGGAGTCATTTAGCCTGGCGCTAATCAGCGTTAATGCACCGCCGGGCCCCATACAAACACGAAAAATCTCTCTTTGAGGCTCGAGAAGGTCTGTTTCCAATTGAAGCCAGCGTTCCCGTCACCACGCTTGCGAAATCCACCCTGCCCCCCTCAGGCCGGGTCTGCAGCCTCCAGATGAAGGGTTTCTTATGTCCGATGTAATTGGCCGAGATTACTCCACATGGACTTGATTTATTGCAGAGTGCTGGCTTATTAGCCGAGCTAATCGACTCTCAACCCCCTTTCGCATGGTTCACACATGCTAATGTCACAGTGTACGCACCCTATCGCAACCAGCCCCCCTCGTTGACCTTGACTGAGCGAAACGTCCCATCTCAACCCCGTATGCTGTTGGTCCTCCAGTGACCTTCTCAGGCTCTCACCTCATAAATTAACTTCCTGCTAGGGGACCGTGTGCAGGGCACGCATGGACTTGACTTCCTGTGATGTGCGACTGCACTCGCTAGAAAAGCATTTGTGGTATTTGGAGTTAAAAATGTGTGTAAATAACATCACTTTTGGCAATTCGAATCAAAAAGGAGCATTAAAACATCATGTGTGATGTTATTTCCAGGTCATTTGTCACATTAAAAATGGAAGGCCAAGTTGAGCGCATTGCATTGTGGGATACTGTCGTTTTACACTGCTCATTTTGACGAAATTCACATTGTTTACAGTATTCATACTACACAAAAACAGTAGCAAGCATTTCTGATTCCTCTCTCGTTCTGCATCACAGATCATCGGGTCGGTGCGTGTTTCTCGTCTTTAGCGAACGGCCGCTGTGCGAGCGAACTGTCCGGTCAGTACACCAAGATGCAGTGCTGCTGCGACACGGGCCGCTGCTGGGCCCTCGGACACATCCCAGAGATGTGCCCCGTCAGAGGATCCGGTGAGTGGGCTAATGCTAATCATTAGCATTTTTGCTAAGTCAAGCATCACTGTTACTATCGCTAATGCTAGAAATTTGAACTTTGTCAACGCTTTTTAATCCATGTCTATTAGCTTTGAGGCTAACGTCTATATGCTAGCATATTCCTAAAAAAATATTTAGTGTATATACACATTTAAAATGAGATTCTTTCAACTTTTTTTTTTTTTTTTTTCAAATGAACGAAAGTCGAAGGAATCCACTGTGATCCAAATACTTCATAGGAATGGGAAACGTTGTGAACATTATATTGTGCAGCTGGGTTTGTTCGCCCTTCTCTGTGTCTGTAATCATGTTCATCTGGTGTTTTTTGTTTTTGTGTGTGTTTTCACAGGAGCCTAATGGAGAAACGCCATCATCTCTGTACCACATCGCTGCAGCTCTTCTTCAACACAATCTCATCGCTCTTGAAGACCTCTACGTTCATGTAAGTGGAAGAGTCGTGGCTGGTTGAGTAGTGTAAAAATGTGACGATACCGAACTTTTTGAAGTACTAGTAGTGCTGAGTAGAAATTAGCTGCTGTTTCCCTCACAATGAGTCATATTGCCTTTTTTTTTTTTTTTTTTTTTTTTTTTTTTACTTTTTTGAAGTTTTTAATCAATGCCTGTTAGCTTTGAGGCAAACATCTGTTTGTTAGCATACTCTTAAAAGATATTTAAGATGTACATACACATTAAAAATGAGCTTTTTAGAACTTCTTTGAAGATTTTAGTCCACGTCTGTTAGCTTTGAGGCTAACATCTATATGCTAGCATTTTCCTAAAAAATATTTAGTGTATATACACATTTAAAATGAGCTTCTTTCAACTTTTTTTTTTTTACTTTTTTGAAGTTTTTAATCCATGCCTGTTAGCTTTGAGGCAAACGTCTGTTTGTTAGCATACTCTTAAAAGATATTTAAGATGTACATACACATTAAAAATGAGTTTTAAGAACTTCTTTGAAGATTTTAGTCCACGTCTGTTAGCTTTGAGGCTAACATCTGTATGCTAGCATACTCCTAAAAGATATTTAGTGTATATACACATTTAAAATGAGCTTCTTCAAACTTTTTAGAACTGTTTTGAAATTTCCAGTCTATGTATGTTAGCTTTGAGGCTAACATCTGTATGCTAGCATACCTTTAAAATATAATTAGCATATAGACACTTTTAAAATTAACTTTTTAAGTTGTTTTAAAGCTTTTTTGAAGTTTATAGTCCATGTCTGTTAGCTTTGAGGCTAACATCTGTATGCTAGCATACTCCTACAAAAGAAATTAGCATAAATACACATTTTAAATAGGCTTTTAAAAACTTTTTAGAACTTTTTAGAAGTTTTTAGTCCATGTTTGTTAGCTTTGATGCTAACATCTGTATGCTAGAATACTCTTAAAAGATATTTAGCATATATGCATATATCCCTGGACCACAAAACTAGTCATAAGGGTCAATTTTTCGAAATTGAGATTTGTACATCAGCTGAAAGCTGAATAAATAAGCTTTCCATTGATGTATGGTTTGTTAGGATCGGACAATATTTGGTCGAGATACAACTATTTGAAAATTGTTGGCTATTGCTACAAATATACCCCAGCGACTTAAGACTGCTTTTGTGCTCCAGGGTCACATATATGCATTTAAAATTAGCTTTTTAGAACGTTTTTGAAGCTTTTGCGATAGCAAGTAGCATAGTTCCTTCAAAAAAAGCTCCAAACGTCCTTTTCAACAAGAGATATGTCAACACAGAAAGAAAACTCTGCATTTCATGCCGTCTTTTGTTGTATTTTGTATAAATCATTATGATCCTGTCATGATACACTAAAATGAGTGTTGACTCTTCTCATACTGTATTACAATAAAAACATAATTTCAAAGGAGGAATTTCTTTAGATGTGCGAGCGTTTGACCTTTATGTAGTGTTCTTTGAAGAGTCGCTCCAGACATGCCGTAACTCACCGCAAAATCACGATAAATATATGTCAGGTCAGCAGAGCGACCGTTCCTCGGGATAATAAAACGCTCTCTTTCATTCCCACGTCTTCACACCCGCGTGTTTTAAGCTCTTCCCTCTTCTTTGACACCATCGTGTGTCTTCCGCAGGAATGCATGAGCGAAGCGGCTGCCAAATCCTCGGCCAACTCCTCGGTTTTTCTGCTTTAGTTTCAGTCTGCTCATTTTTTCGTTGTTCATCTATATTTATATGATCTATT